TGTGTGGTCACATGACCAATTTCTTCTATGGTTCCCTAGAAACAGGGGTGGCACAACTTCCCCGCTGGCACAAATCACCCCACTTTGCCCTAAAGCAAAGGTAAGAACTAAACTTACCTTTTTTTAACGTCTGGCAGTTCACCACTTACCTTTGTACCATTGCAAGTTATTCATTGGACTGGAAACGACCTGAATTGCAATAAATAACTGGAAAGATTGGGGTGTTCTAAAACGTTTGATCGGTAGTGTGCAGATTTAAGAAAGCAAATTTTTGCTGCCATCTGTCATTTTTTTAGCGTTTTCGTTGCATCTCAGTTAGAGTACCAAATATCCAGATTTGGACATCCTTAAATGTCTGTAAGTCAATGAGAGTGATCCGAGTTCTCACAACCAGGACAAATATTGGCTGGATTACATGATCCATTTACACCTATTCAGGCTCAGACCATAACACTATCATCACGCTTGACTGTTGGTATGATGTTCTTTTTATGAAATGCTGTGTTAGTTTCATACCAGATGGGATGGAAACCTTCCAAAAAATTCAGCTTTTGTCTCATCAGTCCACATAATATCTTCCCAGAAGTCTTGGAGATCGTTAAGTTGTTTCATTGGCCAATGAGCCTTTGTGTTATTGTCACCTGTGGTTTTCGTCTTGGAACTCCTGAATGCCATTCTTGCCCAGTCTTTCTTAGTCATGAACACTTGCCTTTGTTAACAGTGGGAAGTAGAGGCAGTTCTTTGGATATTGTTCTGGGTTCTGTGACCTCCAGGATGAGTCGCTGATGCACTCTTGGAATAATTGTTGTAGGCCTTCACCTCTGTTCCAGTCTACTCTCTTTGTGGATAATGGCTTCTACCATGCTTCACTGGAGGCTCGGAGTCTTAGCAGTGGGTTTGTAAGCTTTTCCAGACTGATAGATCTCAATTACTTTGTTTTATCGTTTTCTTTTCTATAGTTATAAACTATAGAAAAGAAAATGATTCTTTAAATGATGACTTGATATGTTGTTTTTGAGATCGTTTAGCCTGCTTTGCTTTGTCAGACAGCTTTTATGTAAGAAATTGAAGTGGTGGTAATTCAACATTGTTTTGTTCTGTCTCTGATGCTGAGGCCGGGATACAGCAAAGCTGAAACCATGAAACTGCCTTCACCATGTTTCACAGATGGAGCTAGGCTCTTTTGTTAGAAGAGTAACAGTAGATAGAAATCACCTACATAGAAAAAGCAACTGAAAAAATGCTTGTATGAGTGAGTGTGAATGAATGAATGAGGCGTGTTATATAAATAGCTTGAGGTGGTCAGGTAGGGTAGAGAAGCGCAAAATAAGAAGCAGTATATTTACCATTTATCCGTTCATGAATACAGTTTATTTAACTGTCCTTAAATATGCTTCTGTAAGCCTTTTCAAGCTTGATGAGCATGAACAACTCGCTGTTCTCAGACCTCTTTCGTTTCCCATGATATCCACTACTCCAAAAAAAGAAAAAGATGAAAAGGAGCACTATTTAAAAAAGTGTAGCATCAAGTCAGTCAAACTGTTGGGCTACTGACCTGGTAGTTAAGTAGCACATTGCTTCCTTTTCTGCTGCTTTGGTGTTAATAAAATTAACAACAAGTGCACCAGAGGAGCAG